GCCAAGGAGCTAATGGGGCTTTTGGGCGCTCGAACCATGATGTCAGCCAGAGTGCTGAGCTGGCAGGCTTCTGACCAAACGGGAAAAGTAGAGCAGCCACAAAGAAAAGCTGGGGGCGGGGGCTGCTCCTCAACTCCAACCCTTAGACCCTTGGGTCCTGGCTCCTCTCCAGCCAGGACCCAAGGCCCAGGCATCTGGAGTTACATGGAACTCAAAACACTCTCCCTCCCAGGTGTGACGGCTGAAATACTTCCCTTCAGATACGTACCTAGCAGTCCTTACCCAGCAAGAACAAGACTTACCCCCTCAGAACATGACAGATTTGGAGATGGGGTCCTTAAAAAGGTGATTAAGGTGAAACAAGGTCACTGGATAGGCCCTACTCTGACAGGACAGAGAGACACACAGAGGGGAGATCAGGTAGAGACACAGGGAGACGATGGCATCAACAAGCCAAGGGGTCAGGCTCAGGAGACACCACCTTACTGACACCTTGCTCTCAGACTTCCGGCCTCCATAGCTGTGAGAAAGCAATTTCTGTTTTGTTCAAACCCCTAGCCTGTGATACCTTGTTACAGCTACCACAGCAGACAAGACACCAAGCCATTGTCCCCAACATCCCCATCATGGCAGGTGCTCCCTGCTCCCTGGCCACCGTCCCACAGCCTGAAACCTTATCTAGTCAGTGAATCTTGATACTGAGCCTCCATTTCACCCTTCCTCCTCTCCCTTTCTTCCAGCCTAAGTGCAGAGAAGCCAAAGCATCTCTGAGCATTCGTCACCACCAAAGCTTTGGTTCTCTACAGACACAACTGTCCCTTTTCCCTCGTGTCCATGGCTTGGTTTCCTGTACCTGCCCGACACAGACAGCCCTGTATGGTAGTGAGCTCCCTGTCACCATAAGGCTGAGAAGACTGGATAACAGCCCAAAGGAGCCATCTGAACTAGGGGTGGGAGGGCTGAGAAGTGGCTCCCAGGGAGGTGGAAAGGGACTTGGAGTCAGACACACCTGAATTCAACCATCAACGCCATCCCCCACTTCATGACTCCGGTGAGATCACTAATCCTTACATACCTTTGGGGACTTCACTGCGACAGTGGGCTTCACACAGCCTGAGCTGAGCTAGTGCCAAGATGGGTTCCATACATGGGGACAGTGACATGGCCCTCACTGTGGCAGGAAGGCATCAGATGGGCTTTACGATCAGCCTGGGCCACCCCAGCCTGGAAGGTCAGGCTACAGAGAACCAGAGATTCCCAACACAGATTTCTCTTCCTTCCTTTACCATCAAGCCTGATCAGGGATGGAAAGGGGGCTCTAAGTGTCTAAATCGAACTTGGAGCTAGTGTAGGGGCTGCACAAGAAGAGGTTAAGCAGAGCCATTTCTGAGACATGGTTAAGACGGGATCACCAGCTGAGCTCAGTGCTGCCAGGAGGTGGGCAAAGTGGGGGCATAGGTCACTGGAGAGAACTCAGGCCAGAGATGGTATCTGCTGCCAGCTGCCTGGCTCAGAGCCCCTGCCTCCCCATCTGGGTTACACAGTGTACTCTAGAAGTACTGGCCTGACCTCTCCAGTCCCACTCCTGCAGCACATCTGAAACAAGAGGTACAGGTAGCTGTGTCCAGCAATGGCCCCAGCTCACCCTGGGCATGACACTCCCCACGCATCTGGATAGGCTGCCCTTCCCTGCAGTTCTCCAGAATGAGCCTCCCATCCCCTCCTTTGTGGTCCCCACACAGAAGTCCCACTAACTGCCTATCATGGGTGGGGCCCAAGGTCTCTGGGGCACACTGTGCCATGCACCACCGCTTGGCATACTCCCCTCATCCTAGGAGGCAGCACAGTTGGCCCTGTCAGTCCAGGAGCAAGTAGTAGGATTCAGAGAGGGCCAGACACTCACCCAAGCTCAGCAAGGACCCAGGGACTGCTACAGAGCTGGATGCCTAGAGCAGGCCCTGGGGATGATGACCACCCAGGATGGCACAGTAGTTGGTGTAGTGGCTCGTAACTGGCATGGCAACTGTGGGTAGGTTACCTCGGTTATGTTTACCATCTGGGCATAGTAACAGTGCCCACCTCACATCGAATTCTCAGCCCCATGGCTGGTGCATAGCAACTTGAGGGCTTCCTCAAATTGTGAGGCCTGAAGGGCTGGCCATTATCACCACTGAGGGGGTCAGAGACCTATAAGGAAACCACAGGCAGCTGGTCCCTCCTCAGCTCTTGCTACTCACGGGAACCCAAAATGATTTGTTGCCTGAATCCCATTTTACAGCCCAGCAAACTGAGGCCCCAGCAGTGACATTTTGCCAAAGGATTTGCCATCAGGTAGTCTGGCTCCATGGGCTGCATTCTTAACTGCATGCTAAAGAGCCTCTCATGAGGGTTGCTTCAGTTATCCAATGACATGGACATCCCAAGTTGGCAGGTGAGAAACCAAGACAACAAAAAGGCTAAAGCCAAGGTACGGAGCCACAAAGGGCTGAACTGGGGGCTGCTTAGCAGGGCACAAGGACATTTCCTGTCAGCCTGTCCTGCTGTCCAGGACCTCTGCAGAGAGCAGAGAGCTGCTGGGAGCACTGCATCTCCCCCAGCATGGGGACCCCTCAAGGGAACAGTCACCCCCCCACCCAAGCTCCAGCTCAACCTGTCTCCTGGGCACCCTGGAGTATCAGGGGTTGTGTACCTTTACCCCAGCTCAAGTGAGGGGAAACTGAGGCAGGGAGCTGGCCACACCTAGGGAAACACATAGCCACACACACACACACACACACACACCCCACACACACACTTTCTTCTCTTGACCAATAGCCATAGGAAAATCCTTTTACTTCTAGGCCCCAGAGTGGAGATTCTTGCAGAAGTGCCACTGGCACACGCAGCAGGGGGTGCGCAGTGGGAGCAGAGGGTGGGCTCTGGCCTGGCAACCATCCCAGCCAAACAGCTCCTGGCCCAGCCCAGGCCTAGTCAGGCCAGGCCAGGGGAGGAGACAGCAGGGGCATGGGCTGCTCCCAGCCAGGCAGAGGGCCAGCTTCTCAGCCTGCAGACAGGAGCCCCTCTGTCCTTATAGGACGAGCTGACCTTTAACTGGCCCAAAGG